AAATGGCAAATGGCGGCAGCCAAAAAGCCAAGCGGGGTGCCGAACTTTAAAGGGGATCAGTGGGACAGGGGGGATTTCCATTAAATGCAAATGCACACACAACGAACAGCAGTGGGCGTTTTGTGCGCGATTCACTAGCGACAATAGACGCGCGCTATTGATGCACATTTCAACAGGTTTTCATTTGCAAGAGCCTTGTTTGCCAGCTGTTTATTTTAATTAAATTGCAATTACTTCTGCATAATAATGTTTTTGGTTTTTTTTTTACATTTTATTGTAAAGGACAAATGTAGTTGCTGCCAAATCGCGTGCATTTGGCGCGTTTTTAGTCGCCTTTTGTTTGTGGATTTCAGCGGGCTTTCAGTTTCGCTGCCTCTGCAACTATTTTTATGACATTTAAACAATTATTTTCAAACACTGGCAAACAGTTGTTAAAAATATCATTTTATCCGGCTGCCGGCCAAGCCCAGCCAAATGGCGGCCAGCTCGTTGCCTCGGCTGGTGTCAACATGTCTGAGACTGCCAGGCGCTGCTCTGACGTTGCCACCAATTGTACGAGTTGTTGTTGTTGTTGTTGTTGTTGTTCTTGCAACGCCCCGCAGCGTAACATGCGAGCTGTGGATATACCCTCACTGAAGATAGTTCAAATTATCGCAAGGTATGCACACAGAGAGCAAAAAGGTGGGTCTAAAGAAAAGCCAATTTTTACTTTGTGGCTCAATTACAGCTGAAATTGTCTCTAGAAAGGCTTTGACTTAATTTAAGTTAAGATTGAATATATCTTATAATAAGAACAAATCTGAGTTAAAACTCGACTTCGTTTCAGATTCATATTAAATACTTGATTCCATTTTTTATGTTTGTCTGTTAAATTTCATACTTAAAATGAAAATGTTATACTTGAATCAAGTAGGTCTGGTCTTAACATACTTTTAAAGTCGATTTTACTTAAGTGAAGCATAAAATGTTTGGGATTAAAAACTGCGTGAATATAGTTATACATCTGCTAGTCTTTGCTTGGTTCAATTTTTGATATTAGTCTCATAAAAGTCATACCCAAAATAATCATTTTTAACTTGAATCAAGGCAGACTAGTCTTTTACTTTGAAGTTCGACTTATAGTAATACCATTTTATGTGCTATATTTTTTCTTAATTTTTTCTATGATTATATATATATTCAATTTTTGATATTAGTCTCATAAAAGTCATACCTGAAATAATCATTTTAAACTTGAATCAAGGCAGCCTGTTTTTTTCATACTTTATAGGTCGACTTTACTTAAGCATAAAATGTTTGGGATGTGACTCTGTGTTTTCTTTTGTTTTCTTAATTTTTTCTATGATTAAGATTAAGTAAGAGTATTTCGGCTTCGACTAATTGCAGTTCGCTTTTCATATTTTGTAGCCTTTTGATTTAATATTTTGCAGCCGCCTAAAAACTTGCCAAAAAATTATTATTATGAACCTGTAGTTGTTGTTGTTGTTGTTGTTGTTGTTGTGGTGTTGTTTTGGCCGCTTGTTGCTGGCAGCTCGTTGTCTGGCTTGTCTGAAAATCGAATTCTTGAATGAACCATTAATCTTGCGGCCAGCTCTGGCCGCAGCCGGACCCCGGGCCGATCATTAAATGGCTGCAGTAATTGCATTGCGGCTGCAGCTTCAGGTTTTTTGCCTCTGTTTCGACTTTGGTTATGTATATATATATTTTTTTTTCATCTTGGTTAAATTAATGCGGGCTTGTCATATTACAATTACGTCGCCCGGCTGGCATTACACCTGCGCCTTAATGCGACGACCCCTTGGGGCCTGCAAACCCGAATTGGTTCTACTCGACATTTCGTGTGAAAGGTTGTCGCAGTTGTGCCTTTGTCTTAAGGTTAGGTGCAGCTAACAGTCTGTTAAATCATTTGACAATTTATTAAATTTTGTGCGGCGATTGGTTTAGGGTTTGGTCCATGTCTAAGTCTAAGTAGGTAGCTGGACTAAGCTTTGGCTGAGCCGCGCAGGAAGTTAAGGGACTGAATTCACATCAAGACAAAATATGCATTTTTTAATCAATAAAAAAGTTAATATGGGCAAAGGTAGTCATAGCTACAATATGTGGGTTAACTCATAAACTCATTGCGGATCCCTGGTTCAATGATCGCCTGATCTTCGCTTAATGCAGATCACACCACAGTGCAGCATTCCAACACCTCTCACTTATGAGAGGAAGAAATGAAAAAAAAAACTACATGCATACGAGTATTTATGATGATAATACAATCTCGCAGCGGCAGAAAAGTGAAAATCACTTTTTAAAGCGCTGCTGGACAACATATACTAGAAATTTCAATTTCCAATGCGATGGCAGGCATAATTTGTTAATTAATTTTCAAGCAACAACTTAATCAAAATGATGTGGCCAATTAAAAAGCCACCGCGGGGAGGCCACGGATAAGACACAGAGACTATGAGAAAGGGGGAGGCAGGAGGAAAGCATTGCGAACTAGTTTAAAGAAAGGCTTTCCTCGAGTGTGTGTGTGTGTGTGTGTGTGTGTGTGTGTGTGTGTGAGGCGAAACGAATCGCTGCGTATCGAAACGAGCCGGAACTTAATTACTGCAAACGCGATTCGATAGGTCGCCCGTCTGACGGTTGGAACACTCTGGCCTGGACTGTAAGATCAGCAGCACATCAAAAGATGCTACACGACTCAGACAGCTGGACAGGTGGCACAGTGGGTAGGCTGCAGCGGAAGTGGGCAAAAAAGCGACAAGTTTTTCCAGCATCCGTGGGAGTTGACAGCTAGCTGGCTCCATTCTAGAAAGCGATTTGCATCTGCTTGGCAGCATTTATATTCTACTTGCAACAGGCAGTAAAAATTGTGATTCCTTTAACAATCTTGCGCTGCTATCACACACACAGACTCCGCTCGAGCGTCTGCGACTTTCAATTAAATCCACAACCAAAAACATAAAAGGCAAACCAAATTTATCCTCAACGAAACTTCAACCTCACCTGCCTGCATGGCTGGCTGGCCCCTCAATTAATGTACCCCGTGCCGAAGCTAACCAATTTCAACTTATTATCCCACACAATGCAAAGGCGGCAAGGAACGGGTTCTGGTCACGTTTTGGTCCAGCTTAGGCTGCTCCAAGAGCAAACAAAAAAAAAGCAAAAATACAAAATACAAAACCAACGCAGACACAAAATGATTTGCGGTTCATTAAGACGCGAAGCCCCCAGACAGGCAAGAGGACTTTGGCCAGGGGAGAAGGGAGACGGGGGACTCCAGACTGCGTCTACGATGACTAAGGCACTGGCGGAACGGTCACTAAATACACTTGACAGACGCTGCATTTGAGTGAGATGGACTTTTGGCTGGTGTCCGGCCAACGCAGACGTCGCTCGATAAGGCGCAGACTGGACACATTTGCCTGGAGCTCACGATTAACGCCAACAGCTCCTCCAGCTAATCGGACAGATCGCGACAAGCCAACAGTCAGACAGACATAATTATATTGCTGACGATCATGATCGGCTCCATGATGATCATGTTCAGTTATTTCCACAGACTTTCAAGTGGATTCTAGCAGTTTGTCACGAGTAGGAAGTCGAACAAGCCTTGGCAGTTGAGTAGGTTGACCAGTTTGAAGAGGAAGAAGATGAGTGTAACATGATCTAAGGACTAGATGGACAAACTAAATGTGGGTTGCCACAGATAGGATCAGGTTGCAATAGTCAAGGCAGTGACCGCCAGACCAGACTTGATAGAGCTGTCAAGAGTACACGGGAAAAATTCTTTAGAGCAGGGGAATAATACAGTGAGGCTCGAAGGAGAAGTTGAGTAAAAACGCAAGATGAAAATGCGATCCTAATTGGCAATATAATGGGTATTACATCAAGAAAAAGTATCCCTAGTCTAACATCTATATATTATGTGAACATGAAGAACTCAGAACATGGTGAGTTATGTCAACGGAACTTTCTGCGTTTTAAGGACCAAGGGTATTTTCTGTTGAATAACACGATCAAAAATAAAGTAGTTTTAAGTAATATAAAATTACCAATTATTTAGTCGAGATATTAAAAAGAAAATCATCAAAAAGTTTTGCTCTTCAAACCGGCCCAGTTTCTTGCAAAATCGTGATGTAACCTCTTGTCAAATTTAGTTTAAATTTGAATATTACATTTTTTAATGTCAAACGAAAGTTCAATAGACTTCGAGTCCAAAATGGCACATTTTATTATATATTCGGACATTATTTAGTCAAGATATTCCAAGCCAAGGATAATCTAGTAGGGATCCCATATATGCCCATGTCCTTTTTATTTTCGTCTTATAAATAAAAATAAATTTCGAATATAGCATAAAACCTATTCTCAACTTATCGACAAAATATATTACAATCAATGAAACTGTTTTTTATACTCAGGCACAGCCTCGTCTGAAAGCTTCTTCAGGAGCTATATTATATAATAGGGAGAGACAGAAGAGTTTTCGCAAAGCTTTCCTGAATATCTCTATGTTATAGTCTCTATTCTTTAGATCTAAGTTGGAACGAAACATATAACTGATTCATCAAGAGTTATTTTAAGATATGCTTAAAATTGTGAGAGAAGCAGCTTCTCCTTTCTCGACATGTTTTCATGAACCTTAGAAGTTATTTTCAATATTCCAACCATTTCTCTCGCTCTGTCTCTATTCCCTACTCCCTTGTCTTGTTAGCTTAAGGTCTTGCTGCGCTTTCCAACTCACAGACCTGGTCCACACCCTGGAGCTTAGATCACTCAAAAAACATATGACTAATCAATGCGCAACGCCTTTCTATTTAGCGCTCGCATTCTGCCTGGCTCTGGCCTGGGTCTGGCCGGGCCTGGGTCTGGGTCTGAGTCTGGCATGTTTAATATTTGTGAACCGCGTGGAGAACTTTCATCATTGATAAGCCCAACACACACACACACACACACACACTAGTTGTAGACCGCTGTCAGCTCATGTTTCCTCATTCACATTGCAGCAGCATCGTCAGGAGTCGCAGTCGCCGGACTATCAACGATATGCGAGCATTGGCAAATTGCCGCGTGCAACGGGCAATGCCAATGGCAACAGCCATGGGATCGCTGGCAACACACACACCGTCACCGTGGACATACACCAGCACAGTGGCCCGGCCAAGCAGCAGCAGCAGCAGCAGCAGCAGCAACACACAACTGGCAACAACAACAGCAACAATATGCATTTGGCGTACTGCGATCTGAATGGGGCTCCGGCATTTGCCACGCCGCCAACGCGTCGGCGTTTCTTCAATCACAAGAATCTGCGCAGCGCGCTAACCGGACATCGACGCACTGCCTCCAATGGTGGCTGTCCGCTGGACACAGCATCGATGCTGTCGGGCGGTAAGTTCTAGTCATAGCCACATCCAGCTCAGGTGTTGGGATGCACACACATACTCAGTTCCTCTTAAGCACAACAAGATTAGTTGGTAAATAAGCTTTGCACATTTCTTATACCCTTCCGCTTGCGCCAATCGTAATCCTTTAGATCATCATACGCATCATCATCATCATCATCATCATCGTCGCCAGCATACGGGCAGTGGCAAGGAGTCGAACGCCCTGAATACCTCCACCTGCTCGGATTCGGCGGTCACGCGACGTCGTCGCAAGAACTTCAGCAACAACAATCTGAAGACATCCGCGGAGCATGGCGCCAACAGCGAGAATCGACTGAATCGGCTCAGTTTGGCCGGCACCTCAATCAAATCTCTGATCAAATCCCTGTGGAGCGTCAATTCATCTAACTCAAGCGAAGCGGGACTTAATCAACTAGCAGGCATGGCGTCCACTTTCGCCGGACTCTACTTCTTCTATTTGTTGTACATTTTGCATGGCATTCAATTTGGCTCGATTCTACTTTTTGAATATTTTGCATGACATTTTTGTTTTGAGATTTACCAATTCGTTAATATATAGACTGCGATATCCGAATCAGCGCTTTCAGAGAAACACTTTTATTTAGCTAATTAGAAATTGTCTGTGTGAAATTAAAATATACCCATACGAACTTAAACCCAATTTCCAATTTTTCCAAAATTATGAACTAACTCTTCAATAAATTTACAGAAACGTCTTACTCAACTTAAGACCGATCGATTGGTCAACACTAAGTTTAACATAACTCTTTTTTGCATCCATTTTGGAGTTTCAGGAGGATATCAAATTAACTCGTTATAAAAGGAATTTTCTTTTAAGCTATACACATTTTTATCATTTTTATTAAATAATTATAATAATTGTCAATCTGATCGACTCACATCAAATTCTAACCTCTCTTTTGCTCGATCTTTACATTATCATTACATGTTATTAATCAACAGACGTTTAACATAAATGCTAAAATGAAACTGTTAATGTGAGACTGTTAATGCTATTGCGAGTTAAATACGCGACAGCTAAAGTCTAGATGTTCATTTAAAAGCGTATATTTTTTACTTATTAACATTCCCGTTCTTTATATTTATTGATCAGCACCCATACAATTCTAACCTCTCTTATGCTCGATCTATACATTATCATTACATGTTATTGATCAACAGACGTTTAACATAAATGCTAAAATGTGACACTGTTAATGTGAATCTGTACCATTTTCTCGTAATAACAGGAAGATCTTTTAACATTTTTAGATGTTCTTTTAAACGCACAAATTTGTTATTTATTAATGTGGCTGCTCTTTATATTTATCGATCACCTCCCTTTTAATTGCACGATTTTTACATGTTTATAATAAGTAATTTATCAGTATTTTTGATGGTACTCACCCACATACTTTTGCCTTATACTGCAGGCAGCGACACCTTGGGCATCGAGCACCATCCGCACTCGTTGCTGCAGCAGAAGGATCAGTTGCGCGCCCGCCTGGGCCTGTTGCTGAACGACAACAACAACAGCAACAGCAACACGAACACCAACACAACCACGAGCAGCAGCAGCAGCAGCAGCAGCGGAGGTGGCGGCGGCGGCGACCACAATGGAAACTCGACGATGCAGTCGACCAGCATCTCGAGCAGCGCCGGGGTCAACACCACGGCGAACAGCAGCAGCGGCAATGGAAGCGTCAGCGGCAGCTCCTCGCAGCACATCAGTCCGGAGTCGCAGCTGGCCAGCGTCGGGCTGAGCGGCAGTCAGCTGTCGGTGGCCACCTCCCACAAAGACGACGCGCTGAGCCTGTGCGGCAAATTCAAGATGGGCTGCGCCCTGCAGGATAATCCCTACGAGCCTTTGCCGCTGCCAGTGCCGGGCAAGATGCGCAAGGGCGCCGCACGGCGTTCCACGCGCGCCCAACAGTTGCCCGCGGGCACGGCAGCCGGAGCAGCCGGAACGGGCGGCGCCGTCAATAAGCGTGCGGCGGCAGCAGCGGCCTTGGCGGCAGTGCAGCTGGCGCTGAAGCCGCTGTTCTTTGAGGTGCCGCTGCAGGAGCCCGATCCGCCGTATGTGGGCCGGCAGTGGCTGGTGCAGCAGCTGGCAAACATACTGCTGGGCACGGAGACGCGCGTGGTGCTCATCAATGGGCAGCCGGGCACGGGCAAGACCGCCTTCTGTCTGCAGCTGGTGGAGTACTCGTGCTTTGGACGGCGCCAGATGCAGGCGCAACAGCAGGAGGATGCGGATGCCATCTATAGCCAGCTGGGCGCACAGAACGAGCGCATGCGCGGCCTGGCCTCGCACATGGTCGGCTATCACTTCTGTCAGGCGGACGCGAATCTCACCTGCCAGGTGCCGGACTTTGTGCACTCGCTGGCCGCCCAGCTCTGCCAGGCGCCGCAGCTGACAGCTTACCGTGACTATCTGCTCTCAGAGCCGCATCTCCAGGACATACTCAGCGTGCGTGAGTGCATTGCGGATGCGGAGCGTGTGATGCGCCTGGCCATACTGGAGCCGCTCGCTCAGCTGCATCGCGCTGGCAAAATACCCGCCAAGGTGGCCGTCATTTTGGTGGATGCGCTGTGCGAGGCTGAGTACCATCGGCCGGATCATGGCCATACCATAGCCAGCTTCCTGGCACAGCTGTCGCCGCATTTTCCCGCCTGGCTCAAGCTGGTCGCCACGGTGCGCACCCAAATGCTGGAGCTGGTCAAGGCACCCAGCTATACGCAGCTCACGCTCGACAGCTGGGCCAGCAGCCAGGCCCTGCAGCAGGACATGCTGGACTACATCAATGCACGCATCGCCCACTGTCCGGAGATTCAGCACAATATTGGCGGCCAGCTGGCCCAGTCGCAGGCCAAGTTCGTGTCGCATCTGCAGTCGCTGAGTCGCGGCTCCATGCTGTATGCCAAGCTCATACTGGATCTGATCTCGCGCGGCCAGCTGGTAATTAAATCCTCCAGCTACAAGGTGCTGCCTGTCTCGCTGGCCCAGATCTTTCTGCTGCACTTCAATTTGCGCTTTCCCACGGCGCGCAGCTTTGAGCAGACGGCGCCCATACTCAACGTTTGCCTGGCCGCACTCTATCCGCTCACGCTGGACGAGATCTACTATAGCATGGAGGCACTGCAGCATGGCCAGGAGCCGCTCAGCTGGCCGCAGTTCATGCAGCGCTTCAAGCTGCTCGACGGCTTCCTCATCAAGCGGCTGGACAACACGTACATGTTCTTTCACAGCTCGCTGCGCGAGTGGCTCATGCGCCGGGATGAGGGCGAGTCCAGCAAGTTTCTCTGCGACGCCCGGCTGGGCCATGCGGGCATCGCCTTCCGGCTCTCTCGCCTGCAGGCGCCGCTCCAACCGCAGCTAACGCTCGAACTGGGGCATCACATGCTCAAGGCGCATCTCTATAGCAGCAGCCAGGCGGCGCTCTCGCCGCGTGATCTGCAATCCTATTGGCTGGCCGGCGCCGCCGACAACATCTCTGCCGCCTTGGGCGCACTGCGCAACGTCTACAGTCCCAATGTGAAGGTGTCCCGGCTGGTGCTGCTCGCCGGCGCTTCGCCGGATCATCGCACCGACTATATGGGCGATGCGCCCATTTTATGCATTGCCGCCCACGAGGGCATCCTGCCCATGGTGAGCCTGCTGCTGGAGTTTGGCGCCGATGTCGGTCTGACCAATAGCCAGGGCTGCACGCCCCTAATACTGGCCGCAATGCGCGGCCACTGCGATGTGGTGCGCCGCCTAGTTGCCGCCGGCAGCAGCCTGGGTCAGCTGGACACGACGCAACGCTGCGCTCTAGTCCATGCCGCACGCATGGGTCATCTCAGTGTAGTGCAGTATCTGCTGGCCTGCGACTGGTCGCCGCGCCCCCGCTCCCAGGATGTGGGCCGTTCGCTGGCTCTGCAGCAGGCGCTCATTGGTGCGGCTGCGCAGGCGCATGTTAAAATACTCGAGGATCTGCTGGATCTCAACGAGCACGAACTGGACGACCTGAGCGTCAATGTGAACGGCCTGGAGCCGAGCAGCGGCGAGCTGGCGCTGACAGCAGCCGCACGACACGGCTGCACGGATGCGGTCAACATTTTGATGTCGCGTGGCGCCCAAATCGATGCACGGAATCGTCAGGGCTATACGGCTCTCTGGCTGGCCGTCAAGGAGGGCCATTGGAGCGTGGTGGAGCAGCTGCTGCAGCGCGGCGCATTGCTCGACGAGCCGCTGGGTCAGGCACGCAAAACGCCGCTGATGATCGCCGCCGAGGAGGGACATCTGGAGCTGCTGGAATTGCTGCTGGCACGTGGCGCCACATTGGAGGCCGAGGATCATGAGGGTTTCACTGCACTCAGCTGGGCGTGCCTGCGTGGCCATTTGGCAGCGGCCAGGTGCCTTATCGAGCACGGCTGCAATCGGCAGCACGAGGATCACAAGGGACGCACCGCCTTGGATCTGGCTGCGTATCAGGGCGCGGCCAGTCTGGTGCTCTATTTGCTGGAGCAGGGCGCCAATCTGGAGCACATCGATGTGCACGGGATGCGGCCGCTAGATCGTTCCATCGCCTGCCGCAACATACAGGCGGTGCAGGTGTTTCTGCGCAAGGGCGCCAAGCTGGGACCCACCACATGGAGCATGGCCATGGGTAAGCCGGAGATTCTGGTGGTGCTGCTCAACAAATTGCTCGAGGATGGCAATGTGCTGTACCGCAAAAATCGCTTCCAGGACGCCGCCCATCGCTATCAGTATGCGCTACGCAAGATCTCCGGCCTGGAGCAGCTGCTCGAGCGGAATGCCGTATTTGCCCAGCTACGCACGAATCTGCTGCTGAATCTGTCGCGCTGCAAGCGAAAACTGAATGTAAGTTAGGCCCCGCTCTGGATTCATTTCTCTCTCTCTCTCTAATCTTTGATTGCTTTACAGGAACTTGACGCCTCCATAGATTTGGCCACGCAGGCCATACTGCAGAAGCCGCACAGCTACGAGGGCTACTATGCCCGGGCCAAGGCGCGCATGGAGCTGGGCGCACTTAATGAGGCGCTTGTCGATGCCAACGAGGCCATGCAACAGGCGGCCCAAAGTGGTGTCCTCTGCGAAGTCGTAGAAGTCCTGAAGCGTATCCAAGCCGAGCTCCTCACGCGCATCACCAGCGAGGATCAATGCGCTGGCAAGCTGGCCAGCGCCGGAGTCGGGGTCGGGGTCGGAATCGGAAACGGAAACGGAGTCGGAACCGGCGCCAGTGCCGTCTACGAATCTCAGCAGGAGATGACCGATTTGTAAATGTCCTTTGTTGAAACGAATTCGAATCACAATCTTAACTTTCTAATTTTAGAATTAGCTCTTAACTCTGTTTCTATTTATTGCCTTTGGAAATTTGATTAATTTAAAAAATTAATTTGTATTCTTTCATTTTCTTTACGCATGTAAAAAATAGTTGTAATAAATATACATTAAGTTTAAATTTGCTTAATAAAATAAATACGAATTTATAAGATCAACCCTTATAGAACTTATTTCAGTCCAAAAATGTTGCATACTTCGTGGCGGGCCACGCAAATATATGTTGCCTACTTTCGTGATGCGTGGCTCACTACGGCAAGGCAACTTTAAAAATAGAGCGTACTCAAGCCATTCGGAAAAACGGAAACTCCTAATATAGATAAGACACAAACCACAAAGTAAAATCTGAAATTTCATCTCATTCTGAATTTGTAAAAAATGAGATCTTGGATCGAAAATGAACTTTAATAGGGATGATTCTCAGGATCTGTTCAAGACACCTGGGCAAAGCAAGCATAATAACCGGTTGGTTAGTAAAATTCAAATTATATTTTATAAAAAGTTTATACTTAACATACTTAAGCCCTAAGTGCTAACTTAACAACATAGAACTTAACACGATGATAAATTATACGTATTTAACACGTATGCTAGACAACATTAATTTGGGATGGGTCAAATTTCCGCAGAAAAATTTAAATTTCAGTCTCGCTTTCATATGCACTAAAAGCCAATTACATTGTAATTGCGGTCCAGGTAAATAATTTGATTAAATAATATTTGTACACATAAAAGTCAAGTAATGTCACAATTTGATCAAACTATTTACCCGAAATATATCGATTAGACTTAAAGACTAACTTAATCTATAACTAGGCTAATAAAAGGACTCAATATGAGTCAGAGAAGGAACGTCTTTGCAGGCTGGCCGTGCAAAATGTGTTCGTTGTCGTCGTTGTCGGTTCAACAAATCCATTCGGATTGCACAAGGCAACAATGGCACTTGGGTTGTTCGGGGCTGTTCAGATCCTTGGCTAAAACTTCTCATCGTCCATGTTTGTGCGGCAATTGTTGAGCGCCGACTGACGCTTCAGCGTGCCCGTCTCGCAATCGTTGTAGGTCTTGGCCAGCACCTTGGGCGTGTTGTTGTGGTGCATGTTGTTCCGGTTCAGCGTGCCGCCGCCCCCAACGCCGCCGCCAACGGATAAGTTGCTTGTCTTGGCGGGCATGCGGAAGCTGGACTGTCGCTTGGGTCGCTGATCGTAGTACTGCAAGTTAGGCATATTAGTTTGGTCTGCAAATGGAGAGACTCGCGGATAAGCACTTACATCCTTGGTGGGCAGACTGGAATACTGATTGGGATAGCTGTCGAAGCTGGCCGTCGTCGTGGTCGTCTTGTTAAGCGCCTCCTCGACGTTTTGCAGGCAACGCCGCCGTGTGAAATGATATGTGGCCAGGCAGCAGGCGGCAGTTAGGAGCATAAAGCAGCCAATGACAATGGGCAGAGTTGCGCTCGAGGCACTTTGCAGCTCTGCAGAGAAGTCGGCTGCATTAATGAAATCCGTACAAATATTGGTGCTACTTTGAAGCTTACCTTCACACTCGCCCGGCACGCAGGCGGTCTTCTCGAATTCGGCACCGCGGCACTCCGCAGCCGCTGGCTGCTCCACTAGACAGCGGCGATGACGCAGGCGTATGCCATCGCTGGAGCAGGATGACCACTCGCTCCACTCACTCCAGCCGAGAAAGTCTGCAATTATTGACATGAGTCAGCTACACTTCCAACTTCTGGTTAAGCTAGCTTACCTTCACATGGCACCATGGCACACTGCTGCTCCTCGAGCGCACGTCCCGCACAGAGTCTCTCGTGGCCGCCCAGACATTTGCGTGTGCGCCGGCGCACGCCCAGGCCGCAGGTGACCGAACAGCTGGACCACTCCGACCAGCAGCTCCACTCGTGCTCCAACTGATTGTCAATGCTATTGTCCGGCTGCTCGTCCGCCGGGCAAGCGTGCAGATTGCAGGCGCGACTCTGTGTGCTGTGGCCGCGGCGACGCAGCTGTGTGCCACCGCCGCAGCTGGCGCTGCAGGGCGACCATTCGGAGTCGGGTTCCGCCGAGCTGTCATGTTCGTTGTGCCGCTGACAGCTGCCGTCCTGGTTGCAATTGCGCGTCTCCTCCTTGGCCAGGCTGATGCGCACCGAGCTGGCATCGGCGCTGGTCGCTCGGCAGGCATAGCGATAGCGTTTCTCGACATGCGCGTCCGTGGCATTGCCACCGGCCGTCGTTAGCCAGGGTGTCCAGGCGCTGAGTTTGCGCACCTCGGCACAGCTTTGCATATTGCAGTCCTCGTAGTCCAGTCGGCAGCCGGGGCAGTCCATGCCGCCGTTCAGGGGCTTGGGATCGTCGCATTCGCGCCGGCGCATACGGAAGCCGCCACCACATTGGGCGCTGCACTCGCTCCACTCGCCCCAGGGACCCCAGGCGCCGTCAACGGGCGGCGGCTTGGCCACGGGACACGGCGGCAGGTGGCTGCAGTACATCTCGGCATGCTCGGGTCCCAGGCACATGCGACCGCCGTGTGCGGGTCGCGGATTGCCGCAAGTGCGACGACGCGTCTTCACGGCAATGCCGCACGTCTGCGAGCAGGGCGACCACGTCGACCACTCAGTCCAGCCGCCGTGCTGTGTGCAATTAGTCACCTGGGTGCTGATGCCCTCGCAGGCAACGCCGCCGTGCTGCGGCTGCGGATTGTTGCAGTTGCGCTGCCGGCACAAGCAGCTGCTGTCCGGCTGCTCGTGCTGCTGGCACTCGGCCCATGGCGACCAGCTGGACCAGCCGCCATCGATGGGCGCATTTAGCACCGGACAGCTAAACTGTGCTGGCTGAAGCCAGGGCTGTTGCCCGGCCGGATCGAATGGCGTGCAGCGCTCGACGAGCTCATTCCAGCCGCAGTAGGGATCCATGGCATTGAGGCAACTGGACTGCGAGACATGACGACTGCAGCGCTGGGCGGGTATGCGTGTGAGGGCCAGATCCGTGCCCAGATAGATCGATTCCGTGACCTTCAGGTAGGACATGTGCAACAGGATGCTGCTGCCCGTATCGTCCGCTTGCCACATCTCCACCAGGCACGTCTGCGTTCTGCCCTGCTGCTGGCCGTACTTGACCGACAGCTTCTTAATGTGGTTGTCGCTGCTGGACACATACAGCACATGCAACTGCTCCGTCCGGGTCTGCACAATGTCCAAGGCAATGTGCTTGAACCGCTCCAGGCGGGAATGATAAAGCGGCTGCGCACCAATCGGCTGTATCGCCTGATCCATGAGCTGATAGCGCGAGCTCTCCAGCAGATGGCCAAAGGCTGTTGCACCGCTGGCGCACTGGAACTGGCTGCGTTGCGGCGTGTTTACGGTTTTCCATGGCGCATCCGCGTGCTCCTGATGCCTGAAGGCGCCCTCGAATGCCGCATTAATCGAGCTCAAATTGTAGGCGCAGACGGCGGAACCAAAGATGCTCGACCTGAGGAAAATTTGGCGAATATTAATTAGATGCCGGAGCAACAGGCTATTCTCGTCGCTTACCCCGACGTGCTGAAGGTGGCGTAGAGCACATGCTCCGACTCGGCATATGTCATGCCCTGGATCTCGTCAAAGTAGTAGGGATAATCGCCGGGCAACGAGCAGTTGAGACGCGCCTTAAGAAACGAGGTCCAATTGTCGCGCAGCACCTGATCCCCGCCAGCATCGTTCTTGCAGACGCGGGCAATGCGCGAGTAGATCGCCTAAATAGAGAAATGGGAATATGTTATAACTCGATCGCTTGCCAATTGAGCCGATCTCTTACCTTGCCACAGCTCATGTGCTCCGCGGCGGATTCGCGCAGCAGAAAGTACACAAAGTTGCCAGCCTCAAAGCTGCCCACAAACTGGGCGCCATTTAGCCAATTGGTGTTGTATTGCTTGGTGCGCAGGAAACGCTTGCGTTCCTAGAAGATCAAAGAGAAGCGGGTTAAAAAAAAAGACTATAAGATCGAATAGGATTAGAGCCGAAAAGATAATAAACGGATGGGATTTAGTCGAGTCTCATTCAAGGTGAGAGCCAGGAGGATCCATATATCCATATATCATATTCTCATTTGAATTACTTAAATATTAGTTTGAAGAAGGACATTTGAGCAAGCTCTCAATTATATATAAGTATTTCATTTTTGTTATCATACTCTTTTCAAAAACCGATTTCTATTAATTTTGACAAGCGCAATCGATAAGAGTTGACAACCACAATCGATAACAAGCATACATCGATTAAAAATAAAACATTATCAATCGATTTCAAATTTATTTTTTTATAATTTTGGCTTGGGATTTCAAGCACATCTTCAAAAACTAAATGAGAGAAAATAATAGAATATGAAAATTTGCAACTGGCGGAAAATAAAGTTAAGGGATTAGAGAGCAGGATTGAGTTGCAACAGGATGTTTGCCAGGAAATAGATAACTTTATCATATGCATGTATACAACATATCTATATGAATGCAATTATATTTGTTTATATTTATAGATAAACTTACCCCGTTGGACTGGACGGATGTGCGTATAATGGCCACATCGCTGCCGGAGAAGTCTGCGGATGTGCCCACAAACATGTTGCCATTGGACTGCAGAAGGCTGGTGCTGTTCGCCTGCGGATGAAAGGGGCACTTGACCACGCCATCATCAAACTGGGTGACGTTCAGATTTTCCATCTGCATAAGAATTACAAAATATACCATATATTTATTTATGAGAGTTCAGTTTGTGGCAGTTGTTGGGCTGTCAGAGACGGCGACGACGACCACTCACCTGGCGCCACGAGCAGCTCGGCTGGAAGGCGTTCGTCCCACACGCGTACAGTTGGTTCTCACCGTAGCTGTGGAGCACGCGCACATAGTTGCGACACCAGCGATCCGACTGGCCTTTCTGCTGGCACAGCAGCACGTTCCCAGGCGTCGCCTCCCAGCTGGCCCGCTCCAGCGGCTCCAGCTCGAAAGACATGCGGTACAAGGTGTCTCTGCAAAGAGTCGATAAAATGTTGCAAATATATCCAACTATATATCCAAGCGAATGCGGCAATGGTAACAGCTAAATTCGGCCCACAAGCGATTACTGCCCAGTCCAAGCCGCGGCCTAGATGCTTCCCC